GTGTGTGTGTGTGTGTGTGTGTGTGTGTGTATATATATAAATATATTCTCGATACATTTATATATATATATAAAAATATATATTCTTGGTACATTTATATATATAATAAATATATTCTCGATACATATATAGTGGGTTTAATGCTCATTTGAAGGGCAAAGAGCAACTGATGTTTCAGTTTTTTCCAGGGGCTGTTTCTGGCTCTTTTGACATCATGTGAGTAGGGATTATTCCAGGTGGGCTCTGGTTTGGGAATGCTACATGAAACATCCCTCCCAACAAATTTCTCTAATATCTCTAACATACCTCCTCTACCGGTGATTCCAATGTGCTCCTCTGTGTAAGAACCATTACCAAGATTAGTTTATCTTGATGGGAAGTTCTAGCATGAGGGTAGGGGTGGGTGGGGGTATTGTCTAGTGGTCACCGTAAAGGCTTGAACAGAGAGGAGTTAGAATTCTGGGATAAAAATGTGCCTAAATGGGTGATTTGTGCACATGGCAGAGACAGAGCTGGAGAATGAGCAAGAAGAGGCTGGACAAATGTCCTTGCCTTCATTTGTGTTTTTTAGCTTTAATGTTTCATCTTGATCAACTTTCTCATCACCTCACCCTTCAGGTAAGCTGCCCTAGAAATCAGTGGGAGAAGCAGTTTTGGGGTGGGGGTTAGGGAGGAGCAGCAGAAATCTACCCTTAATGCTCATTTGAAGGGCAAAGAGCAACTGATGTGTCAGTTTTTCCAGGGGCTGTTTCTGGCTCTTTTGACATCATGTGAGTGGGGATTATTCCAGGCAAGCTCTGGTTTGGGAGTGCTACATGAAACATCCCTTCCAGCAAATGTCTCTAAAGAGTGGTTGGTACTTACATTACGAATGAGTTCAGTGAAAACTGTGGTCTCTAGCTAAATATGGAAAACAGAGTTTTTAGATGGCAGCTGCCCAAAGGGTTTGTAACTCTTTTTCTATAACAAGCTCAGTTGAGAACTTGAGATTTTCTAAGGAGGAACATTTGAAAGGGTCTTGGTGATGGAGGCAAAGTAACATGTACAGCAAGAGGCAGAGATGACTCCAGAATGCCTGCATCATTGCTTGGGGCAGGAGACCACCTGCTAGCCAGGTGGCATATTAAGATTAAGAATAAGCTAATTGCCTACTTTTTTAATGCTTGTGAAATTATTATTTGCAAATAAATGAGCCACCCAGGTACAGCTCAAGTACTTGCAGGTGGAATGAATCACTGCAGGGAGAAAGTACTAAGGGGAAAAGTGGGTTATATTAATAGCAATGTCCAGCCCCCTTGACTATGTGTGAAGCCATCACAGCACTCCCAGCTGAGTCGTGACACTCTGCTATAGAAAGGCAGCAGGTGAGTGGGGAGGGCAGGTGACCCCAAATAACACATGAGCCTCCTGAGACTGGGCTTCGCTCTCCATGGTGCTAGCAGAGCAACTTTGCACTCTATAGCTCAGTCTATATTCTGGATACACTTACCTGCTCTATGTTTTATGTTTAGTTCCAGGCCTAAAGAAGGAGAATATGGTCAAGGCCACATCCTAAAAATCAACAGACATCTACAGCCTGGACTTCTCTCTTCTCCCCAGGTGGTCCCTGTAGCCATGGCCACAATGCCTACACTTTTGATGGAGCTATTGGCCACCGGAGTGGGTGGAGTATTATTTGGGAACAGGGGAAATCAACTTTGCTTAGAAGCTTACAGTCAATAGTAAGGGATTTAAGAAAGGCTGGGGTCGTGTCTCTTGTCTTTTAAATTCTTTGCTTAGAAAATTGTGTGAGAGAGTGTCTTAATCCCCCTTCTGCAGTATCCCTCTCTCTGATTGTGGTTTCTTCTTCTGGCTGTCAATGAGTGTTTTTGCCTGTAACTGGTGATGTCTCTGGCCTGGGGTATGTTTACTTGTTCTGAAGTGGATAAAACTTTAGCTGATGCTCTTGGGAGGAAACTTCCAGAACTTTCTCACATTCATGCCATTACCCTCCTTCATCACTAAACATTTGTATGCAGGGGATATCAGGTTAAAATGAATAAAAAGAAATTGCAAAGGATAGGCTAAGAGGTGAGCCCCAGACACTTATCATCAGCTAAACATCTATTGTCTGAATTATTACTTCCCAGCCTAGGGGCTGTCATGATGCTCAAGCCAGAGCTAAGGTCAATTGTCTGGTTTTCTGTACCTATACATATATGAGATCTCCATGGTGCTAGCAGAACATTTGCGTTCTCTGGCTAAATCTGTGTTCTTGATACACTTAACCTGCTCCATTTTATGTTTAGTTCTCAGCCTGTAGGAGGAGAATATGGTCAAGACCACATCCTAAAAATCGACAGACACCTGGAATCTAGACTTCTCCCTTCTCCTCAGGTGGTCACTGTAACCATGGCCACAATGTCCACACCATTGATGGGCCAGCCCCAGCTTGTAACTGGTGCCCCTGGTTGTAACTGGTGGACAGCTACCACTTTCCAGCCTGGCCTCCAGACCTTTCAGATATAAGTTCTGCCACATTTCTTAATCTGCTCTTCAGAGATGCTCCCAAAGCTGCTATGGGTAAAAGTTGGCTCTGTAGATTCAGGTTTTGGGAGCCTGTGCCTTTGGTTGTAGATTTTCCAGGTACCTTTCTCTATTTTCTTATTTTTGACCACACTGGAATTAGGCTTTGATTATTCATCCCTTTTCTTGGACTAGCTGAGTTAATCTGAAGC